AAGGGTGGACGTCTCCCCGCTTGAAATGGTCAAATATCAAAAAGGAGCCAGAGTCATCATTACATACAAAGAAGTCACTTTTAAGTGGCTCTGTGAACAAGGGTCGTGAGTGGCCTCACAGCCTTAGGGTTAAAGGACAGATTCAGACCCAGTGCTAAGACAAGGTCAGCTCAAAGACGTGACCTCCAGCCTGCTGTCACTCACGCAGGAGGGGACGGGACCTTGCAAACTGTCCAATCAGGGGAGTCGCTGGTAATGTACGTGAGGGCGGCGCTCTGATGACAGCGTGGACGGCGTGTTCCTACCTTCTCTCGCCCTCCGCTCGGGATCCGTTCTCGCTATTCTCAAAGGCCTCAGGTAGCTCTGCCACATCCTCTGTCGTTGTGACCTGCACTTGCTGCAGGAGTCATAGGGTGGATGACAGGGAGCCCCCGAAGTCGGGAAATGGTGAGTGCGGGGGTCGCTGTTGGAAGGCTGGGAAGGAGGAGGGGGTTGTCGGAACGAGCGTGGCTGGACCCGGCCTCCCCGAGGACACTCCAGGGTTTGGGACGCGAGTCCGCCGGGGGCGCGGCACGCAGCATGGGCGCTCGGCCGGCAGCCAGACCCCCTCGGTGTTTTCTCTGGTCACCAGCTGCGTCTCCCCAGAATGTTCGGTGACCACAGGCAGGATCATCAGGAGATAATCGTGCCTCAGTCTCCGGGGTTCCTAGGTGGGAAGAGCTGTGGTCTGTGGGGTCCCCAGTTCCTTTCTCCCCAGGGGGACCCGTTTTTCCCTGAGTTTTACAAATGTTTGGGAAGCAGGGCCTCAAGTCCACGACCTTGTCCCCCAGCCTAGGTCTTTCTGGAACTGGCAGTAAACCCTAGTTTCCATCTCTCTCCCTGCATTCCCAGACGCCATCTTCCCCTCTAGTTCACACCATCATTATTAACTGTTTATCCTCCGCAGTGCACTTCACGCTACGCAGTATTTTAATTGTGTCTTATTTCTCCGCACAGCCATGAATGGTTCTCCTTTTACAGATTTACATGTTTGCCTATGGGTGTTTTATGTAAGAGGAAATCCGGGAATACCCACCCACCTGGAATTGTGTTGTGTAAAAAACCTTGTGCCTCTCCTCCCAGATCTTTCCTGGGCAGACATCCTATGGGGCTGGAAACTTCCCCGGATGAGCTGCCCCTTTCATCATAGTGCCTGGTCAAGCCCTGCCAGTCTCTGAGTCTGTGGTTTTATTCACTTTAATTCTCCCTTCTTTCAATAAAGATAAATCTAATCAATATATCTTGAAAGACTATAAAATATTTCCAAGGAAAAAGTGAATTTCAGAAAAAATAAATTCCATTATTATATCCGTTTGGGGTTGATTTCAAATGCAATATCAGGGCTTAGACTTGCAACATCTAAACGTGTTCAGTATGATCATTTTCCAGTTACTTGCCATGAAAATAATAATTAACTGACATTTCTTTTCTGAAAGGACTAGATATTTGTGGATTTTCTTGTTGAACCGGAAAAATGCCTTAGAATTTTCTCTCATCCTTTACACTTAAACACCGGTTTGAGTGGTTTTACTGGATTGTTCAAACACTGGGTTTGTGTATTTAAAATATCGGTGTCCAGAGTGACTAGATGGGAAGCAGAAGCCTGAGGTCACTTTCTCCAAGCTAAGCTCTGTTGAGCCTGCAAAGTACTTAAAGGCCCAGTTGGTTCTTCCTGGGGAGCCTCCCCTTGCAGGTGTCTTACCTGCTCACACCCACCAGGGAAGGAGCCTTTACACTGAGAGAAGTTACATCCCTGGAAAGCTGGGGATGGGGATGGAAAGGATGGAAGGGACGGGGGCGAGGTAGGAGGTAATATCCTTTCTAAGGTTGTAACCGATTTCCTTGGGCCTGTTTCTAGATAAAGGCTTGAGGACTGCATCCACAGTGTAGGTGCACTCAGAGTAATTTGTGTGCATTGAGAAAGTCTGTGAAGGTCAGTTCTGTCTTCTAGACAAAGGGTTTATGAATTTTGGAGTTTTGAGGGCGTGAGAACCTTAAATTGAATCTAAGTGTTTCCTCACTTGTGAGAATTAAAGCCTGAGAGAGGAGGCCTTTCTGTTACCTCAGGAGAAGGGTGTGTAGAGCTCCCAGAGTCCCCCAACCCTCCATCATCAGGGACTGGCCCACTTTAAGAGTTGTATCCCTGCCCAGTCGGTGTGGCTCAGTGGCTGAGCATCAACCTATGATCCAGTAGATCAAGGTTCAATTCCCAGTCAGGGCACATGCCCGAGTTGCAGGCTAGATCCCCTGGGATCGTGCAGGAGGCAGCCGATCAATGACTCTCTCATCACTGATGTTTCTAATCTCTCTTCCTCTCCCTTCCTCTCTCAGAAATCAATAAAGACATATTTTTTTTAAAAAAGTTGTATCCCAACTTTGGGAGTATGAACTGCCAGCTTCAGAACATGGGTTTTCTTCTGGACTGTGGGGAAGCAGCCACCTTATCTTACCTGATTTGAAGATTTGCATTTCTTTCTTTGGATACTCATAATATTGCATATTGACGCTTTAAACTCTAGTTTTCCTTAGCAGTCGGTGATAGTATTTTCTCGGTGAATGTGTAAGATTTTTAGTTCTTGGGCTTTCAAAATGTAATTTGATTGAGAGGTGCATGGTAGTAAGGCAGAAAATCTGGAACCAAACAGAATATTTGTTCCTTTTAGGCAAGAGATCCTCAAGATACGAGATAGGTATATTTGAGCTCTCAGGTAGATTTTACATTTTAGGTCAGTTTTTGTATGTGTATGTCCCTAGAGAGCTTTGAAAATTTAAATGCTGTAATATTGCTTAGGTATAAAGGAAATGAATTCCTATTTTAATTAAAAGGAAGAAAACTACTCAAAACTTACATAAATCTTTAAAAATCCTGATACAGTTTTTGGATTAGGCCCAAATAAAATTTTAATATGCTTTGCTCAGTTGGTTAGAGCATTGTCCCAATAGCCAACGTTGCAGGTTCTATCCCTGGTCAGGGCACATACAAGAATCAGTCAGCCAGTGAATGCATAAATAAGTGGAATAACAAATTGATGTCTCTCTTTCTCCATTCCTCTCTCTCTAAAATCTTTAAATAATTTTTTTAAATTGTAATATGCTTTTATACCTGAAATAACCCCCCAGTGTGATATTATAAGGAGAAACAAAAATGCCTCTTGTTATGTTGGTTAGGAGATTTGAGATTTTTTCTTTTTTATGGTTTAAACCTTTATAAGCATTAGTGTTTAACAGATTATGTCTTAGAATGGTTTTCTATGTTGAAAAAAATCGAATTTAAAATTAAATTTTAAAAAGCAAAAGTAATTTAATTTAAAATTAAGACTATTAAATAGGAAAAATATGGTTTATGTAAATTACTCAGCTAATTTTTAAAACCAATGCATGCATTGCTTCAGCCATCCCCAATAACCAGTGTTGAATTTCTTAAGTATCCTGTTAGTGTTTCTTTATAACTGGCACTTGAACCCCACACTGTCTGCTCGCAACTGAAGCTTTGCCCCTCCCTCTGCCCCTTGGGCTCCCACCTGGACAAACTTATGAAAAAGTCTGAGTGGTCTTTCCTCTAGAGATGGCAGGAAATTCAAATCACACAAGCCCCTGCCCTTGGACAAGGATTCTTGCCCTACCCCAAACCGCAGTGAACACCCAGGCCAGGCTCCTTTCCTTGCTTTCTGAAACCATCTCAGAGCTGCTTGAGAGGCTGCCTTACCCTCCTGAGACCTCAATTATGTGATCATAGGGCTCTTCAGGAAAATTTCCACACAGGAAAATGTTTGTGTGTGTGTGCATGCCCATGCGCCAATGTCATCAGTCTCAAGGAAGCCAGCCATCCCTCCGTAGGTGACCGTAACTGTTGGTGCCATGAGCAGCATGTCCTGACAAGACCACTAGGTGGATCTGTCTTCTTTTGCTCTGACCCTCTGTGCTGTCTGATGGCAGCCCTCACTGTGCACAGCAGGAGAGCTAGTGGTGCTGCTGAGCCTACCATGCTTTAGTTCAGTATTCAGCCAACCAAACTGGCAGTTTCAAGAATCCCAAGCCCTGGCCAGTGTGGCTCAGTGGGTTGGGTGTCGTTCCAAGCACCAAAAGTTGTTGGGTCAATTCCCTGTCAGGGCACATGCCCAGGTTCCAGGCTTGATCCCTGGTAGGGGGCACCCAGGAGGTGGCCAATCAATGTATCACTCTCACATAGATGTTTCTCTCTCTCTCCCTTCCTCTCTAAAATTCAATAAACTATTTAAAATTCAAGAAAGAAAGAATTCCAGGGCATCTGGAAGCAGGAGTATGAGATCAGGGCCCTCTTTAAATTAATCCTGGGTCTGTGTCCTTGTTGGGATTTATCTATTAGAGTGAAGCTGTGACAGAGGCTGGGTTGGGCATAGGTGGGAGAGATGGGAGAGGGGGTCTATACCCTGTGCAAGAGGTGGACCCATCAGGTGGTTGGTTGTTCCTGAAAGAGCAGTTATTTAAAGAGAGGAGATGGGGAAAGGCAGCCAGTAGGTGGCAGGCTGATCCACACTCCTTTGTTTCCATACTCCTAATTCCAGAGGGATCCCACTAAATTTAAGCAAGATACCCCTGATAATGTTAGGGGAGTTACTGAATATAATATAAAGTACAAGTAGGGATGTTTCACCTTAACCATGAGAACTATGGTCTTACCTAATTTCTCCATGGTCATAGCACCCATTTTTTTAAAGTAAACCATAACCAGCAGGGAAGGTTTGACCCAATGAGTTATAAGTTAAATTGTAATTTAGTCTTTGGCACTTTCAAATTATATTAACAAAATGGGACCCCACAGTCCTTAGCTCCAGTTAAATTCGTATGGCCTAATGTAAATTAAGCGGGGACTTGAAGGGTTGAAAACCACTGGATACCTATTTAGTGAAGAAGTGATTATCCCTCCTGCTTTGCCTTTGAACAGCTGAATTTGGCCTTTTTTTCTTAAAGATAGTTAGAATTTAACTTGATAGAATAAATTTCTAAATGACCTTAACATGCTTGAAGATCCTTTGTTTACTGATGGAAGAGCAGTCTTTTTTTTTTTTAATATATCTTTATTGATTTCAGAGAGAGGGAGGGAGAGGGAGAGAGAGAGAGAAACATCAATGAGAGTCATTGATCGGCTGCTTCCTACATGCCCCCCCACTGGGGATCAAGCCCGAAACCCAGGCATGTGCTCTGACCAGGAATCAAGTAGTGATCTCCTGGTTCATGGATCAAGGCTCAACCACTGAGCAACACTGGCTGAGCAACTTAATAACTTTCTATTAAAATCATAAATAGTTATATGATTTGACTATAGTTGGCAAAGGTGAAGTTTTAGTTGGCCTGTTCTTCAAGAAAGAATGACACCTCTCAGTGGATTACTACAACCTTGAGGCTATGGTCGAACCAAATAAGCCCTT